TTAATCTAGAGACAGGAGAGAAGCCCTAGTCCCTACTTCACAGGACCTGTCAGATCTACATGACCCCAACCGGATGACATTCCCCTACATATGGAATTGAGGTGGGGGGATGGGAGGGGAGGGTGTTTAGAGTGCATGTGAGAGGGCAGAGAGGGTAAAAGGGAGGGAAGGAGGGAGGGAGGGATGGGGGAGGAAGGGAGAGGGAACTGGGATCAACATGTAAAATAATAAATTAAATTTAAAAAATGCTTTGACTCCAAAATTTAAGTTGAAGGACAAGTTACTGGGGAAAAGGATTTCTATTTTTGTTTCCACAGAAAATGAGAAGATGTGGATTCCTTCCAGACTAATGTGGTTTGATCACGCCAGACCACCTGAAACAGAGTACCAGGTGATCCTACATTCCAAACAGCTGGACAAAACAGCCCTACAGACTACAGCTAGGATATCTGAATCTTCTTCGAATCCCCCATGACAGCGCCCCTTACCAGCAGGAAGTAGTTTGGAAAGAACGACACCCAAATTCCCAAATATTGTGTATAAATGTTTGTTTTCATTTAATTGAACTTTGTTATATAAAATTAAATAAAATAATAATAAAAAAATAAATTTATTGTGTTCAATCCACAGAATTTGTGCTGAGGAAATAAAAAAACACTATGTCTTCATTTTCTTTTGCTATAAAGACATTATAATTCAAAGCATCTAGAAGGCCATCTGTTCATTCATTATCTACAGAGTTTTGTATCAGTGATACCACCTCTCAAGCAGAAGAGGGGAGGGTGCAGGTCTAGGACTGTGTGTAATGCAGGCAGCTGGTGAGTCTCTCAGAAGAGGTTTGTATTGGAGGCTGAAGCACTGTGGGAGGATAGCTAAAATCCTGCTGACAGTAATAATCTGCCAGGTCTTCATCCTGGACACTAGCTGATGATGAGAGTGAAATCTGTCCCAGACCCACTGCCTGTGAACCGATCAGGTACCCCAGTATACCGATTGGATGCTCAGTAGACCAGTAATTTAGGAGCCTGCCCTGGTTTCTGTTGGTACCATTGTATACCGGTGCCCACATTCTGACTGGACTTACAACTCAGGGAGACCCTGTCTCCTACTGATACTAGTAGTGTTATGGGAGTCTGGGACATCACAATGTTTCCATAGGCTCCTGAAAAAAATTAACCAGTGATTAAACATATATACACAAAAGACTTCATGATACAATTTTTAAAATTTCTTTTCTAAAGGTGTTATGTCTGCATGCTATTGGCTTCCTATAGGAAAATAGGTATTTCTATAAAAATTATTTCTTTGAAGATATTATAATACACTTATATTTCTCACCAGTGACCCAGAACATCAGAAGTATGAAGACATGTGTCTGTAACTCCATCTTGATGCACCTGTCTGCCTGATACATTTCAGTTCTCACTGCAAGCCTTGTTATATAAAACATGAGCAGCTGGGCTGGTCTGTAGGGACCTATGCAAAGCAGTCATCAAATAAAGAAGCAAATTGCTTGACCAGTGTGGTGTGAGAGTATCCAGCTTAAATTAGCAGTAAAAATACCAACAAAGAGAGCAAGCAATCACTGGGAAAGAAATCAACATAAAAGCTTACTAAGAGAAAGAAGGAAACTTGTGGGAAACAAAACATGGAACATAGTGATATAGCCGGGTAAGGGGAGTCTTAGTTTGAGTTATGGTTGCTATGATGAAACATCAGGACCAAAAACAACTTCAAAGGATGAAAGGTTGCATTCTTCTTCCCGTTCCAGCTAACAGTCCATCACTGAGGGAAGTGGGAGCAGTAACTCAAATTCATTCTACCCATCATTGTAATATATATGAAAAGGAAGACGCATCACAGTGACACAAAAATAAAACCATCATCAGGACAGTGAGCATTCTCCTTCTCTACAGGTCAAAAGCAGACAGTGATCTGTCAGAGGAGAATGTGAACCACGAGAAAAGGGAAGAAAGCAGAAATGCTGCTGAAAACACATAATATGTCACCTTAAGTCTAATTTGTAGGCCCTAGATCGTATGGAAATATAGGTTCTCATATTTATATGTTATTAAGAGAAAGTGGGGGAGAGAGAAAAGTGGAATCAAAACTAGAGAAGGGATGAAGCAAGTGGCTGTAAAAAGGGAGAAGAGTAAGGAGAGGGCAAATAGGCGGACATTTTTTTCAATATTCATGTAATATTTAAAAGGAATTGAAATGTGTTTCAGATACTACGCTGCAGTAAAAATTATGTTTCGTAAAATATTATGTGGATAGGAATTGTCATAATGCTGATAGTGAGGAGCTCGCCAAGATCTGGAAACAAAAAAGGTAAAGTGTCTTCCCAATCATTCACATGGAAATGTGGGGACTGGAGTGATGTCTCAATGGTTAAGGACACTGGCTGCTTTTCATGAGTACCCAGGACCAATTCCCAGCATCCAAAAGTCAGTCCAGAGGGCCAATTCCCTCTTTACTTTCTGTGGTCACTGTATTCACAAGGTGTAAGACTTACATACATGTAGGACACTTAAAAACTACTTCATCCAGAACCCTAACTTCAAGCCATTGATTTCTGGATTCCAGAACTTTAAAATTACGAGTTTCTTTTGCTCAAGCCACAGTCTATGGTAGATTGTTAAGTAGCCACTTACAGGAGAACTTAAATACATTCTGCTCCAAGGATCTTGGTGGCCCTGTCTTATTAATCACTGCCGAGTCTTACAAGTTTATTCATCAATGTGCCAGGCACACTGGCTGTGAGGCAGACAAAGGAAGTGTCCATGTCCATGTGTGGTGTGGTCAGATGGTAAGACCCGGAGAGGAGTTTTGTGTTAGGGAGTGAAGCTGTGGGGTGAGCGCTGTGATGCTGCACATAGTAATAGTCTATCGGGTCTTCAGCCTGGACACTGCTGATGGTGTGCGTAAAATCTGTCCCAGATCAACATTCTGTGAAGTGATCAGAGACCCCTTAGTTCCAAGCAGATGCCCAGGAGATTGGAATGGGCGGTGCTGATAGTGAGAATGAAATCTGACCCAAACTGCCAGTGTGAACTGTTCAGGGACCCCAGATGCCCATGAGACCAGCAGTTCAGGAGCCTGCCCTGGTTTTGCTGATGCTAGGCCATATGGTTCTTCTCAGTGTAGCTGTGAGTCAGATTCTGGCAGGTATTACCATTAATGGGAACACTCTTTCCTGCTGACACAGCCACTGAGGATGGAGACTGGGATACCATGATGTCCCCAAAGGCACCTACAACTGGGAATGACTAAATGCCATACATACATATACACTCACAAGTGTCATGACATGATCATTGATATTTAAAATGTCTATTCTAATCTTAGTGTAATGGCATATACCTTTAATACCAGGAATTGGGAGGCAAAAGCAGGAGGATCTCTGTGTGTTTGAGGCTACTCTGGTCCACATAGTGATTTCCACAGTACCAAGGGCTATCTAGAGAGACTGTTTATCAGGAAGAAAGGTATTTTCTAATGCCTGTGTATTATTCGGTTCATATGGAATATAGCAATTATCTCCCATTTTACTATACGATTACATGGCTTTTCTCAATAAAGTCATTACACTGAAAAGATTATAGTATTCTTAAATGTGTCACCAGACACCCAGAACATCAGGGACATGAGGACCTAGGTCTGTGACTCCACCTTGAGCTACCCTTGCCTGTTTGATGCAGCTCAGTCCTCACAGCAGAGGCCTAGTTTATAACATCTGAGCATCTGAACTGGCCCCTAGGGGCCCAAGCAAAGCAGTCAACCAATGAGGAAGCAAACTTAACAGCAGCATGTGAGAATGGCTGATGGCAATTAACAGTGAGTGTGAGCACTCAATGGGAAGGAAGTCCGCACAGAAGCTTGAGCTCCAACTTAGAGCTCCCAAACCAAACATCTAGATACGCTAGTGACAGGCTTCAGCTCACAACCAAAGACATGTTTGTACCAGTTTAAAGACATGATAGTAGAACTACCTGCTGCATTATAGCAATCTTTTGGACATAATCAGCATGGTGGGCAAAAACAGAAATCTCCAAATTAAAATGGGAGGGAAAGGAACTAAAAAAGGAATGAAGGCCCAAAGATGGAAAAAGAAATGGGAAAGAATGGAAATTTAGTAATGAAAAGAGAGGGGAAAGAAGACGAAATGGCATGAATAAAACAGAGGTATAGGAGGAAAACCAAAAAGCAAACGTGAAAAACTTCTAGACCAAGTGATTGTAACACTGGACCAAAATTTTGAAGCTCTGAAGCAATTCGAAACAGAAACTTTCTTTGATGATAGTCAACAAAAAGATCAAATTGCTATCTTAATCTAAGGAAAAGTATGTATTACTCATGTTGGATATCCTTGTTCTCCAATTCTGCCTATATTCCAATTACCCATGCACAGGAAAGTATCATACTTTGTTTCTGCAGTGTTACTCAAAGGGTTCATGTGTACAATATTTGGCTTCAAGCAAGTAAGCACACACATGTATACATGCATACATACGAACATGCACACATATGCACATATACACACATACACACAAATGCACACATGCATGTTTGTGCACACACAAAGATAATTAGTTATTTAAAATGTAATAAGGGATAAAAGAATTATAAAAATAGAGAAGAAAAATCAGAAGAAATGGGCACCAGTAAGGAAGAAACCCCTCTGGAAGCTAGAAACGTAACGCTTGCTAGAGCCTCCAAACCAAGATGGTGTTTCTCATCATCATCACTTCAGCCCAAAAATTTTTTTCTTCTGTTGGATACCAGGACTGCAGAACTATAAAAAGATAAATCCCTCATGTTCAAGAACAGAGTTTGGGTAATGTGCTACAGGAGGACTAGAAATATAACACTGAGCTCTTTTTTTTTTTTTGCATTTTCATATAAAGGTTTTTCATAACAGAAGACGTAAGAGACATGCAAACTTTTATTTTTCTGAGTTCTGCAAACTTTTTGATTAAGTGTTTCAAAAACACTGGCTCTCAAGCAGAATGGGGAAGTGTGCAAGCCCAGGGCTGTGCATGATGTAGGCATTTGATGAGACTCCCAGCGGAGGTTTTTGTTAGAGGCTGAAGCACTGTGAGAGGATAAATATAATCATTCTGACAGTAATAATCTGCCAGGTCCTCAGCCTGCACACTGGTAATGGTGAGAGTGAAATCTGTCCCAGACCCACTGCCAATGAAGCGATCAGGGACACCAGTGTTCCGAGTGGATGCCCAGTAGATCAACAGTTTAGGAATCTGCCCTGGTTTCTGCTGGTACCACCCCAAGTAGTCCTTCTGGTTTTTACTGTTATAAAGACTCTGACTGGACTTGCAGCTGATGGTGACCTTCTCTCCTACTGACACAGCCAGGGAGGATGGGGACTGGGTCATTTCAATATATGCACAGGTACCTGCAATCATGAAAGGACAACGAACGTACAGATACACAAACACAGATTATAATATTTGAAATTTGTAATGGAAATGTCCTTATAATGTTATATTGTCAGAATCTTATTATGTAAAAAAATAAAGAACTCTGGCATGATCTGTAAATTTCTTATATACAAGGATGGGACTCTGAAAAGATTAAAATACTTTTAAAATTCTCACCAGACACCCAGAGCAGCAGGGACATGAGGACCTGGCTCAGTGACTCCATCTTGCTCCCCATGTCTTTCTAAAACAGCTCAGTGCTCACCACAAAAGCATGGCTTATAAATCCTGAGTAACCGGGTTGTGTTGGAGGGGCCTATGCAAAGCAGTCAGCAAATACAAAAGCAGTTGCCTGGGCAGTTAGTTGTGTGAGACTGGCTGGGGTTAATCAACAGGCAAACATACTACTTCAGAGAGAGTGAGAGATCACTGAAAGTAATCAGCTAACAGCACTTCAACAAAAATATGCAAGATGGTATAATTGCAGCTTTGATTAAAAACCAGGACATATGTAAATCAGTTGGGTTTTGCAGAAATGTGAGGAAAATTATCTCAGATTGATGGGACTACGGAAATATGTTTTAAAAATCACAGCAACAAAAGAAAGAAGCAGAGTAAGAAGGTATTCAAGGAAAGTGTGAGGGGAGGAAGGAAGAGGATGGAAAAGGGGAAGAAAATGAGGCTGAAGTTGTTCATCATCTCCCATTTACAAAGCCACTGTCTGATGATGATATTTTTATTTGAATTTGAACCAAGCTTGTTTCCCTCACCCTCCTCTCCTTGCCTGTCCCCCCAACCCCCATCACTTTCTCTTTCTGCTCCCCAGGGAGTGTGAGGTCTTCCCAGCTGTCAGACTGAAGTCCATGAGCTCCCCTTGTTCAGGTCAGCTGTTTCTGTGGGTTTCTCCAGCGATCTTGACCCCTTTGCTCATCACTCCTCCCTCTCTGTAACTGGGTTTTGAGATTTCTGCTGAGTGTTCAGCTGTGGGTGTCTGCTTCTGCTTCCATCAGCTACTGGATGAAGCCTCTAGGATGGCATATAAGGTAGTCATCACTCTCATTATAGGGGAAGGGCATTTAAGGTAGCCTCTCCTCTATTGCTCAGATTGTTAGTTGGGGTCATCCTTGTAGATCCCTGGACATTTCCTTCATGCCAGATTTCTCTTTAAGCCTGTAACGGCTCCCTCTTCTCTGGCTCTCCTCTACCCTTCCCCAGACTCTGTCTTCCTGCTCCCTCATGACCTCCTCTCCTCTTCCCCCCTTCTTTTTCTCCTAACTTTCTCTCCCCTCCGCCCATGCTCCCAATTTGCTCACCAGATCTTGTCTCTTTCCCCTTCTCAGGGGGACTCTGTATGTCTCTCTTAGGGTCCTCCATATTTCCTAACTCTTCTGGTGGACTGGACTGTAGGCTGTTGTTCCTTTGCTAGCCATTCTTATACTGAGGACAATGAACAATACTCATGTTACTTCAGAATTCAATGTTCCAACTTCTGGAAATACTCAGGAGCATGACGTTCCATGTTTCGTACTTAGAACCAAATGTACAAAATAAGCTCATCATCAGCTCATGCCTGCATTATTCTCCCATGGTTCTCCTGCATTTTATCATACATTTCCCTAATCTATAACATTTTGCTTTCCTGAAAGCAGAACCTCCTAATCTTCAAAAAAAGGATATACCAACAAATACATTACAAATAAAAAGAGAATAGCATAGGTAAAAAAATTATAAAGGTTCTGAAAGCAGAGTATCTGTGCATAGGAATGGTGCCATATGACCCATATCACAAGATAGGTTGGAGTCATTAGCTAACAGCTGAGTAAAAGGTCCTCTGAGCTCCAGCCATGATAGTAAGGGATGGCTAAGTACCAGTGCCCAATAATCCTCAGCACTGGCATTATTTAGAGTCAATGCAGTAAGCAAACACCCGAGGAAGTAGGTGTGCCACCATCTCTTGTGGCTGTTTGAGTTAATCTGCTTCACTGATGGTATCAGCTCTTCAAAGCCCAGTGAGACAAGAGAGGATCCATATGCTGTGTAGTAAATTTCCTGGAAAAAAAAAAAGGAAAATTTCTCTCTGTGGTAAGTAATGAGGCTGGTGATTACCATTTACCTGCTATCACATCTTTTAGTAACCAGATGTAACCTGGAAGATGTTGACAAAGGTGCCCGACATTTATGAGCTGTAGTATTTCCATTGTCATTAGTTTTCAAAAGTTTCAAAGTAAATGATGCCATATTAATACGATGTTGAGGGTAAACCTTACTCAGACCCATATTCCCCTCTCTGTATATATCAGTTTGTTCTTTGAGATATTTATATGCTCTCTCCACTGTAGCTTGAATTTGGAAACTATAAGGAATCCCAGTAACATGTTGATTTTTCCATTGGAGACAAAACTGTTTAAAGAAAATGAAGAATCCACACAGTACACAAATGTGTCCTTTAGTCTAGATTCAAATGTAGTTCTTTCTTTGCCTCTCAAGCTTATATGCAAAGACTGTCCATTGCCTCTCCTGCTAGAATTTTAAATAGATCGGTAAGTGCATAATTAGGTCTTCCTCAAGATGAATATGTATAGCATAAATTCAATCTTTTAAATCCACAACTATTAAAGCCCAATCTTTAGGAATAGCTGTGGGCATAGGTAAACTAGGCTTTAAAGCTCCCAATTGCCACATGGTGGCATTAACAGTGCATAAATCAACAAACAATCTTCATTTATCAGATTCTTTTTCATTACAAAAACTGGAGCATTCCAGGGAGAAAAGGAGGGTATAATGTGCCCATTCTCCAACCATTATCTAACTAATGGAAAGCCTGTAGCTTTTTTTAAGGGCCTCTGAGGTATTCAGACAGACTTCCTAGATTTCCATGTAATTTTTCTAGGGGGTATATATCTGAGTTCCTCTTTCTTGACATGCCAGGGTCTAAGGATTTGGAGAGCCATTCCTGATTGGAGCAAGCACCATTTGTATCTCTGCTGTGGCCTCATCATAAGCAAGTTGGCATACCAGTATGCCAGCTGCATCAGCTTGCTGCACTTTCTGTTTCGCAGAACATTGAACTGGAGCCAAATATTTAGTAGAAGGCTCAGTAGGTCTATGTCTTAAATATGTAAAACTCGCTTCTCCCCTGAAGAGGACACAGCCTTCCTAGCTCTTAGTCCACACATACCAATTTGGTCAAAATACTGAGGCAGTCCAGGAGCCTGTTCAACAGGAGGTAGGACTACTCTTTCCCTCTGTAACATCTCCACATCTGATGGTATCCCTGAGCTTCACTTTCTCTCATCCTGAAGTATAAATTGATCACAATAATGTCCCTTCCAAATAAAAATGTCTTGAGGTCTCGTACATGCTCAGGCCAGCTGCTTACAGTTCTCCACATGTTTAAATTCATGCTTTATGTTAAGGCAGTATCCCTCCATGGGGGATGTGTCCACAAGGCCTTTTGTGCACCAGGAATACATCCTGGCTCCACTGTCTGAAGTCCCTTAGACTGCTCAGTCCTTCTGGATGAGACCCATATTCAGGGAGGCCTGAGTCAGAACCATGCTGGATTCCCAGCTATCAGTCTGGGGGCCTGTTAGCTCCTCCTTGTTCAGGTCAGCTGTCTCTATGTGTTTCTGTAACCTGGTCTTGTCCTCTCCATCTGCATCTGGGTTCTAGTTCAACTCAGTGTTTAGGTATAGGTGTTTGCTTCTGTTTCTAACAGGTATTAGAGACAGGAGAGAAGTCCTAGTCCCTACTTCAAATGACCTGTCAGATCTACATGACCCCACCTGGATGGCATTGCCCTACATGTGGAATTGGGGTGGGGGATGGTAGGGGAGTGTGGTCAGGGTGCATGTGAGGGGGCAGAGAGGGTAAGAGGGAGGGAGCGAGGGAGGAAGAGGGAACTGGGATTGACATGTAAAATAATAAATTAAATAAAAAAACAGTTTATTCAACAAAAAAATTCATGCTTTATATATGGAGACAAACACCTATCATCTCAACAAGTAGTTTGCAACTGCTGGATGGTTTTAAGGTCTTGCTGACACCGTGCTAAATGGCTCTGCAGGGTAGGATTTATATACATGGGAAAAGCAGAGTCTTTGGATTGCTCATTCAATCATCAATTATCATGACCAGCACAAAGCCATGAAAAGGGGTCTAATTGTGGTGGTGGCTGAAATTCTTCACTTCCTAAGCTACAGTGTTCAAGCAATGCATTCAAGGAAGGGTATAAAGAGAATAGCAACTCTAGGCCTTCATCCCTTACTCTGACTTCCTCCCAGACACTTTCTGTTTTGTGTCACAGCAAGAATTTCTTCCGGGGCTGTCCTGATTTCCTCCCTGTTCTTTTCGCTTGTCATTATCTCTATCTGCCACTAGAAAAGCTTGACGTGCTTATTATTTTCCCCTGTAGGATTGGCACCCTTATTGTAGCCATAGTAATAGGATAAAAAAGATCCAGTCAAAGAACTTCCAGTCCTAACGTCCTCTGCCCATGCTTATTCAAAACTCTGCTTACAGTTCTATGTCAAAGAGCCCCTGTATAGAAAACTAAGAATTTACCTGTAGAAACTCAAATCAAAACTTTTCTAACTCAGGTGTTGGTACTGTAATTTCTTTCTCTTTTCCAAGCACTTAACCATCTGCATCTGAGCCAATCTCTGAACAGAGGCCTCCACATGAGCTACACTAGGAAACTGGTTTTGGTGATCCCCAGCCCCCACATTCATAACAAGAGCAGGGGTTCTTTGAGCACCAACCTATGTTTGTTTTGTTTTGTTTTGTTTTGTTTTTAGCTGAATTGCATGTTGGATCATTATGCAGTGGTCCAGGGTGCTCATAGCACCTTTAAAGGTAGCTTACCAGGGCCCAACAAACAGGACTAGCTCTCAGATGGAGTCAGACACCATCTATTATTCAGTTGACAGGCATTTAAGGTGCTTTCAGATTCGGGCAAAGACATAGTTGAACAAATGTCCTTGTGGTAAGAATTTGCATCTTTTAGATATATGCCTAAGAATGGAATTGCTTGATCTTGTGGAAGACGTATTCCCATTTTCCTGAGGAATTGCAATACTGGTTTCTAAAGTAGCTGTATGAGTTTACACTCCCACCAGCAGTGGAGAAGTGTTCCCCTTTCTCCATATCTTCTCCTGCAGAATCAGTCTTTGGTGTTTCTTTTATTTTAAACATTATGACAGGAGTAATATGATATCTCAGAGATGT